GAAGAATCCATTTAGTTGCCACTAAGATTTAAGAAAGGGATTTAAGGGGGAAGGGACTTCTACCAACTGCAGTCCAGCTCCTGCTCGCTGCAGGGCTAACTTCACAGATCAGGTTGTTCTTGCACATCTTTAGCAGCCTACCTAGAAGGCTGGAGCGGGTCATTCATGCCTGTTCTTATGAATCCACTCCCTTTGCAGTTGGTCTTATGAATTCAAGAAACCATTTTTAAATGTTGTTTTTTGCAATCAATTAAACATTCCATTTTCCAAATGACAAGTTAAAAGTGCTTCATTCACTATTTCCTATAATAATAAAATTTAAATTAAGTGTCTGAATTAATGCATATTATAACTGTATAGTGCTTGTATAAATGTGAAAAGATTAGCATGTCTACCAAGTTGAAATGAGTGCATTTCAGTGTTACAACTATATTTACTAGCACTTTCTCCTGGCTCTCAGTCAGTGACAGTAAACGTAGAATAAAGTGCAACTGCAGAACTGAGATTATTTAACCTGGGATTAAGGTCAATTGCTTATATCATTTTGACTGAAATCAGCTCTCTGGCAAGAGCTTTTGACTCTGAAGATGGAGACCTCAGCCCTGCCCCACTGGGCTGGTACCTGCATCCCTTCTGGCAGGGCCAAAGCTATCGCAGGGAAGGTGGTTGCCATCTGGCTCTTTCGTGGAACAAGAAGCAGGACCAAGAGAGCAGCCGCTTGGCTGCTGTGTGGTGCTTCTGATCACTTCTTGCCTGGGCTGCCCTGTCTTTGGTAGCAGGTAGCAGCTGCTCTCAGTGGCAGCTCAGGACACACTTGTGGCCCTGAGGACATGCTGGAGGCTATCTAAATGCCTGTCCTGTAGGCACTGAACTAGGCACTCCTGTTTCACAGGCATCTTTGTCCCAGGCATAATTGACCATATCTCAGATTAACACTGTTGCCATCCCCCTCTCTGCCTGGTCTTTGAATCTCCCACCACAGCCTTTGACTTGTAGGCTGACCTCCAAATTCTGGCTCTTGAGCTGGTTTTGCTCATGTCCTTGTAGGCCCTGTGCTGTGTGTGCAGACAGGGTCAATTCACAGGCGTATGGGGAAGGGAGTCAGATGTGCAGGGGGCTGTAGGTGCAGGCACTGCATGTGCCAGGAGACTGTGCTGCACATCTGTATGACTTGGCTCTGCAGCTGGCCTGTTCCAGCTTCGTCGTGTCCTCCCTCGCTCATGGTCACCAGCACCACGGCCTGGCTTGGCAGACATGTTGCTGTGGGGAGATTGGCCTCTTTTATCCGTATGGGCCAGCTCTAGTCACAGCCCTTACCTACTGAGAGCTTCAGCGGGTTGGGTCAGCACATCGCATCCAGAAGGTTTCTGCGGGCTCACCGTGGTCCTGTGCTGTTCTCTACCAGTCTGATGAAGGAAGGGATAACATAACCCTTGTAGCAGGGTCTATGAGCTGCAGATTGGGGGTGGAAGAGGAATCGACCCTGGTGTCTGCAGGGAATCCTGCAGGGATTCCTGCCCACTCTGAGACAATGGCAGCGACGGCAGCTTTGGGGTGCAAAGTGGGAAACCTGGCTCAGCAATTCATGCCTTCCCCCGTTTGTGGGTGCACTGTGCATCGGGGCCTTCCCGACGGCCCAGCCTGGGCCATGCCCAGAGACTCAGGCTCTGGCTTGGGTGTTGACCACGCGTGACGGCACTGCAAGCCCCGAGAGTTGCGGAGGACTTCCAGCCATCGTGGCTGTCACTGCAAGTGGGGATGAACCTCCTAACACTGGTGTAGCCTTAGGACGCAGGCTTTCTCTTTCCTGTAGCACCTGATGCATGGGGAATTGCTCCACCTATCGTGCAGCCCTTATGTTGTGTTAGCCAAAACTTGTATCACCATTACATACATATACATTAAATTTCCCAGAATTATCATACATATGAATTCTATTTCCTAGAACTAATTATCATATTTGCATGCGGTTTTCCGAGGGGCTTCCGTGGGAGTCTTCAGTGGTCTCTGGTGGTCCCTAGTGGTTGTTGAAGAGGTGCCTCTTAGTGTCCTCTCCATGAACTTGAGTCTTCCATATATGATCTTCCTTTGGCTCATCACTCTGTTTGTAGAGTTCTCAAGCTTCTTATTTTTGTTTCAGCTGTTGTTTTGCTGTTTTGTCTGTACTCCTTCAGGATGTACCAGTCACAATTGCGCAAATTATGCCTTTAGGTACATTCTTGTCTGAGGCCCCTTTTCACACTACCATGTTTCACAGCGTCCTGAGAGGTGGAAAAAAATAAGTAAAAAGGGCATGGTCTTGTAGATACCTGCTGCAATCAGGTGCAATAGCCTAGTTTTGGGGTTTTTTTTTTTCAAAAAAACACCATTAAAGAAACTTGTCATACTGTAAATAATCTCAGTAAATTTGGGACCTATTTTTTTTTCCTAGAAATAAAACCATGGGCTGATCTCAGGTACACTTAGGAGGAGAACAGGGATCACCTTGGGTTTTGTAAGAACTGGGACCAATTTATCTGTAAGGAAGAGGAAGAGTTTGAAGTTTTTGAGTTCTTTCCATTATATTAATTGCATCTATTGTACAAAGGACAAGTTAGTGAGCCTGTTGCTCACCAATGCTAACAGTAGTGTAAGAAGGTAATGGTAGAATAGCATATGCTTATAAAAATATTAAAATAATTGGTAAAAAAAAATATTATAATAAGTAAATTCCAGAATTTAAACAGCAGGGAAGAGCATGCAGTGTGTGCTGATGTTCTGTCTGTTAGTAGTGTATGTGATGGTATGTGTATAGCAGAAATACTGAAATATTCCTGTTGACTATCATAGAATATTGCAGAGGCCTTCTTGGTTGTCTGACTGCCTATGGAAAATCCAAACTTGGACATTTTGGCAGGAGCAGGCTTTGTGGTGAAGTCTTCAGCTTCTTCATTAGCTGCTCGTTTCTCTGCACTGCGACTCGAACTTTCCCCTCCATTACTCCTCCATTACTCCTGACTATTGTAGACAGCAACAAGACTAACTTGGAAGAGAAGCATTATTTACCAACAAGACCTTTTTGAGCAAACTATAGCTGGTCTCCTACAAGAAACTGCAGAGTTGTGTGCTATTGCCAGATATCATAATGGACCACATGGCTGCAGTGATCTGAGCTTTCACACCAACACCCTCTGTTGGTCCTAGAGCTAATGGAAGATGACGTGTTAATCATGAGATCTCCACCAGCACATCTGCAGAATACCCTTGTGGAGAGTAGAGCTGCTTGAGGGAGGTTGAGGGAGAGGATCCTGCCCTTCTCCTCAGCTCTGGCGAGGCCACACCTGGAGTCCTGGGGGCAGTTCTGGGCTCCCCAGTACAAGAGGGACATGGAGCTTCTAGAAAAGGTCCCATGTAGAGCAACAAAGATGATTAAGGGACTGGAGTACCTATCATATGAAGAAAGACTGAGTGAGCTAGGCCTGTTTAGCCTGGAGAAGATTAAGAGGAGATCTGATCAATATGTATAAATACCTACGGGGAGAATGTAGGGAGGATGGAGCCAAACTCTTCTCAGTGGTGGCCAGTGATAGAACAAGGAGTAAAGGGTACAAATTAAAACACAGGAAGTTCCACCTCCACGTGAGGAAGAACTTTTTTGCTGTGAGGGTGATAGAGCCCTGGAACACGCTGCCCAGAGAGGCTGTGGAGTCTCCTTCTCTGGAGATCTTCAAAACCCACCTGGATGCCACCCTGTGCAACGTGCTCTGGGTGTCCCTACTGGAGCAGGGGGGTGAGACTAGATGATCTCTAGAGGTCCCTTCCAACTTCAAATATTCTGTGATTCTGCTCGATGCTCTTGGCCTTTTCAGTAGAAGCATCTTCTTCAACAGCATCCTGTAGTGCTCACGTCTTCTTTGGGCTGTTCAAAAATGTGTATGTTTTGCCTGTTTGGTCCAAGAAAGCTGTCATTTCACAGTCAAATTCACGCTGTGGGGTGACACTGTGAGTTGCAAAGCTGCTGCACCATCCTGCATACTGCTCGTGGATGCAGTTACTGGCACTGCTGCACCAAGTATTTTCCATGCAACTGCTATGCAAGAGCTGTTTGCTCATGATGTTAATGGTTGCATTTTCCCTGACATTTCACAAAGTGCCCAGCATGAGAGGTTCTCCTGGACAGTGTTCTGGAAATAATCAATGTGGTGCACACAGAGATCCCCGTTGTTGTCACAGCAATGTGCTCCTTCTCCCACTTCACTGATGGAGAGTAGTTGGAGAGTCCATGCGCTTTTACGGCAGAACCATAGCTTCCCCTCTCCAGCCTTGAAGGAGACCTCTTTTGAGAAATGGTGAGAAGTTCCAAAAGCGCCAGATATGACTGGTCACCACCAGTATCCTTGACACCTCTGTGCTTAGCTGGGGATACTGACTGTGTTCCTTTCACTGGCATGAGTCCTCTTTTTGCCTGGAACAGCTTTAATGTTCAGAGAGTAACTCTGCTCCCTTGTGGTTTGGATTTTAGAGGGAGGAGACCACCAGCCCTTACCTCAGTGACTAGTTAAGATTTAAATGACAAGGCCACCCAGGACACATTATACTAGTTTCCCACTGACTCCTTGAAATAGACCAGTGCTGGACACTCTCCAAGGAGTAATAATGTGTGTTTGATGCTCTGCTGACAGCAAAGACATTGATTGTCTCCTCTCTTCTGCAGAAGAGCACAAAACGCTTTGGTGGGTACTGTGTGCTGGCTGAGCATGCCTGGCACTCAAATGTTCTTCCAGATTGTTGCCAGCCCCCACCATGTCCCAGGAGCCAAGGCGTCAGTTCCCAGGGTTGTTTCTGCAGCTCCTGCTCATTGCCCGTTGCCCAGTCTGCCCAGCATTTTCTCCATGCCCTTGCCAGCCTGAGAGTGAGGTCACCGCATTCTCATTCCGCCAGCACCACGGCCACCACTGCCATTGTGCTACCCACCCAGGCGAGGTCTCGGCTGGATGGTAGCACTGGCGTGAGGGGCAGCGATGTTGAGGCTCCTCTCCTTGTTGGGTGAGTGCTCCCTGTGTTGCTGCTGCCGCTGTGACAAGGCACCAGTCCAGATCCTTGAGGCCAGGCACTGACATGTCACACCTGTAGTGAAGGGAGCCTTGGAGTCCCTTGCTCGTAGACCCATGCTCTTGGTATTGCCTTCCTCACCCCACAGCCCGTCCCGTCCAACCCGCTCACAAAGCCAGCCCTGGGAACAAGTCACCCCTACTGTCCTCCAGAGGACTGGAGGCTGCCAGATGGGATGTGGAGCTGGGGATGGCAGAGTAAATCCTGCAGAGGTTGCTAAGCATGAAACCAGAGGCTGCAAGAAAGCAAAAGCTGCCTTTAATGTCATTTAACACTTCTCCTGAGTGGTTAAGGTATGCTATGCTTTTTCTTCTCAGGTTTGCTGATCTGGCTGCAGCCCTCTGTGGCTCCACCAGTCTCTCTCCCAGGCAGTCCTCTGTCTGATGGTGAGTACCAGATTTTCTTCTCCAAATTGAGGCCCTCATGGAAGGCACGTGCTGCCTGCCGGCTACGACGCGACTATGGCTGTTCCAGCCCTGAAGTCCTGCAGCTGGACAAGGAGGAGAACCACGGCTATATCCCTGAAGGTAGAGCAGCACGAATGGGTACATGCTGTCGGTGCTACACTGAGGTCACTTCACCTTCTAAGGGCAAGACAGCAATTGCTCAGGCTGGAATGGCACAAACTTTCTCTGTCTTGTCACAGAATTGCATAAATGGTAGTGGGACAGGCCCTTTGGACATATATAGTCCTGCCTCTGGCTTGGAGCAGGACAATCCCAGCACTAGATCAGGTCAACCTGACTTCACCCTCATGGATTTTTTAAATCTCCAAGGATGGAGACTACAATGCCCTGCTGAGCACCTGTTTCAGTGCTCTACCACCTTCCTCATGAACAAAAAATTTGTTGTAGTGTTCAAACTGAACATCCCAAATGGGAATTTGTAGCTTTTTCCTTTTATGTTGCCTGTCACTACCAAGAGGAGCTAGAATCTCATTTTCTCTTTTTTTATAGTTTTCCTTTGAGTAAGTTTTTTTTTGTCTGTTTTTTTTTTTTGGGGGGGGTGTTTTTTTGTTTTTGTTTTTGTTTTTTTAGCTGAAGACTGCAATTAAATCACCTCTCAGCCTTGTCTATACCTGACTAACCAAGTTCAGCTCCCTCAGTCTCTCTTCATAGGCTTCATAGACTGAAAACCCTGGCTACCCTAGTGGCCCTGCATTTGCCTCCTTTTGTCCATATCTTCGTGGAACTGTGTGTGGTAGGGAGCAAAGGGGAAACTGGCCAGTGTTTTGAGAAGCCCTCTGGCCAGCTCTTCCCAACAATTCATGTTATGGAGTGACCAAGTTTTTCCAGTTTTAGAAAAGAAATTTGGTTTACAGGCTGTCCTAGGCCTTTAAGAAACCCTGAGCTGATAAGTTGCTTTTCACAGTGTATAACATTTCAGTGGCCATAAAACCTTTCAGTTCAGAAAGCACCATGGCAACAGCCCCCTTTAAATCTCTACAGTCACACTTTCCCTGCACCCATGCATCTGAAAATTTAAGTGGGATAATTATATCCGCACAGCTGAAAAGCTTGGGACTACTTCTGTTGTATTTTTCTACAGAAAAAAAAATAGGAACAATTTTCTCATAAAAATATGTCTTTATATTTAGCTATGATAGTCAATTAATTGCATGATCTGCCAACTGTCTTATGCTTATTTGAACTGGAGCTTGAGGGGCACTCTTTCTTCCTTGTTTCTGCAGCTGTGGCAGAGGAATGGTTCCTCCCCTGTATCAGCAGATCCAAGGACAGGTCCTGGTCTCCTATCTCCTTTGCGGTCACCAGCAACCCACAGCCCTATGGTGCTAGCTGCACTTGCAGGCTGTTCCCAGTTCTTCTGCTGGCAATGTCCAGCTCCCTGACACTGCTCATGCTGGTGCATTCAGGCACTGTCCCACTGCTGCTGCCTTCAGAGGCTCAGCTACCAGGAGCAGGAGCATCTGGGGAGTACTGAGTATTTCCTTATGGGAGATGAACAGAACGGAGGAAGCCAGGATCAGTGTTAAGGAGGCAAGCTGCTGGTCCAGCCATGCCATCAGTAGTCAATAAGCCATGGGGAAAGCTGATCCATGGTATAAATAAAGAGCAGGCAAGTAAAGAAGCAAAGAAAGTCTACGGAAAACCTTATCTGTGTGAAGTTTTCCTTCATTTCCAAGGTGCTGGAATGACAATGCTCTTCTCCCCTCACATCCCCAGAAAAGAAGAAAAGTTTCTGTATCATCCAAAGGACATTCTGTGACAGGACAGAACAACTGTCAATACTCAAAGCCTGGCCTGGCTGAGGAGGGCCAGGTTAATACTGGAATATAGGCAATGGTTGGGCTTCTTCTCCTGCTTGGTTGCCCACTGCAAGCAGAGTCTGTTTGGTGGAATACAACTATGCAGCCCCCAGTTTGTGTGTACTGGCAGAGTCCACATTCCTTGAGTCCTTGGAGAGATTTCACAGGTTGTCAATAAAAGATGGGGAGAGTTTCAGATCTCTTCATTACAAGTTGGGCTTTTTCTTAGTTGGAAACCTAGTATTGAAACTCCAGTCTGACTTCTGAAGCCTTATGCTTAAGACAAGGTATCCTTTAAACAGATATATAGTCTCCTGTTTATTGTGTGGTAGAGAACTGCTTTCCAAATCATCAGCCCAGAAAGCAGTGAGTACTGTACATTTTCTGCATGCCATGCATTATACCTTGCTTGCTGTGAAGACGCTGTCTTATTCATTGTTGAGTCTGTATCTGTATCTTTGGTACAAGGTATCTGTCTTCTCTGAATGTCAATGATTTTAATGTTTGTAGCTCTTGGCCTGCCCATTGCTTTTACCAAATTTGACTGGCAAAACCAAGTCAATAAGCAGCATAGGATGCTCTGGTCTCTGCACAATGAATACTTAAAAAAAAAATGAGTGCAATGTAATACATCAATTATTACATGGCTGACAAAACATGGGAGCAGGAGCAAGAGTGCCTGATTGTGTAGCATACTGTGGCTTATTTTGAGCAAAGAGTAGAAATACACTGCTACGTGCTATTCCTATAAACAGAAACACAAAAATTGCAACTACTCCTTCACTGTTCCACTGCTGTGAACCTGCTTGTGCACAGACCCTTATTAAAATGTGTTTTTTTTTTTACTGGTGTAGTTCCTGCGGTGTATAAAGCTGAATAATGATGGCATTCAAAATAGGCATTTGTATTTAGAGTAAAATATGTTGCACAAGTAACTAGCAGGGGAACAGAGAGAGCAGTCTAATTGCACAGGTAAAATCCCATCTCAGCCAGTGCTTGCCCCTCCTTTGGCAAGCTTTCAGGGTCCACACCTGCAGTCACCATATTGTTTTCTGAGGGACCCTGGCAATGTCCTTTTTCCACCTCCTTGCATGTACCTGGGCTGAGGCTGTTTGTGATTTTTTTGGGGGTGTTGGAGGCTTTCTGTGAGCTCAAGAGGAGTTGGGAGGTTGAGCGACTTCTCTGCTTTCCCCAGGGTTGGTTGCAGCTTCTTGCAAGGAGGAGCTTGTGGGGCAAATCTAAAGGCCATAAGCAGATAGAAGAAAACCCCAAGTGGTAGGTGCACAGAGTTTCTGCTCTTTCTTGAGGATGGGGAGGTGTAGGCTCATAGTTCCTGCACCAAGTGAAGGATTGTTCTGCTCTGTGCACTTGAAGGGTTGTTGGTGGTGGCAGATCACACACACACAGAGCAGAGGAAGCACAAAATTACCCCTCTCCAGAAATCTTCTAGGATTTTTGACTCTCCCGCATGAGTTCAGCTGTCCTGTGATTGATTTCTGCAGGAAGACCTACAACTTCTGAGCCAGTAGGGCCATCAGTGCTGTTCAATACTATTGTGCATATGTATTTAGGCGCAGTCTTTGCCAGCAGCACAACAGTGCAATGGACTTTCCTTCATCCTCAGCATGACCAGAGTCCAAATTGTTTTCCTTGGATGAGACTAAGGAAAACTTCCAGCTGTAAGATAGTCTCATCTGGTGTTCTCAGTCCTGGTATGGTCATTTTTCTAACCCATAACATCAGTACTTGACTGTTTTTTTGTTTGTTTTTTGATGGAAACAAAATTTTTAGGCCTCTAAAATGGAGGATAGTAGGTGGCAAAGGACAGAAGGTGAGACCCTGTGTGGTTTTGATGGAAAGTACCCATGGCCTATGGCATCTAAGCTCTGTTTTAATAGCAGAAAGCTCAGATGTCCACGGCAGGGCAGCCAGCCTTACTTTCTGTTATATCAACCACACAACTGATGCTGGGCATCCAGGAGGTATTTGTGTCTTGCGACCCTCAAGGACATATAAGCTTATAGTGGCCACCTCCCCCAACCTCACTGCTCTCTTCCCTGTCTCTAGGGCCCATCTGCTCTGATTTCCCAGAGCAACTGTGGTTTATGAACTTCTGCCAGTTCGCCCAGTACCGATGCTCCAGTCACAAATTCTACCTCAAGGTGAGCATGGGGCTAAGGCTGGAGGAGAAGGGCAGCTCTCTCATGGGAAGGAAGGAATTGGGTTTCAGAGGGTCCCTATAATCCACAGATGGGGTAAAATGGCAGAAAATGTAACACAGCGGGACTTGGCTTTGTCCCTCTCTCTCCTCTGCTTAGCGAATCCTGTGTTCACGTTTGTCTCCTCCAAAAAATGATCTTGTCCAGCCAGAGCGATCTTATGGTGTGGACTCCTGGGCAAACGACAGAAGCTCCCTTGCAATCCCAGGTATGACTACACTGAGCTTCTCTGGATATCTCTGCTTGTGTGCCTTTCTCCACCAAGTACTTTTCTTCCCTGCAGAAAAGCTTGGTGTAGTTTTGGGTCCGCTGCTTGTGTGCAGCTGACTCAGTGCTGGCAGGAGCAGGCCAGCCCAGTGACTCCTACCTTTCTGGTCTGCAGAATGGTTCCATGACTGAGATGGAAGCAGGGTCCTGCAGGACTGGCAAAAATGCTTCTAGTCTCACATTTACTGACACATGTAGGAGTAGAAAGCCTATGAGCACACATGTCAGCAGCTGCTAAAGTAGGGCAGTTGCAAATATATTCGCAGGGGAGGGAACTTCCTGTCTGATTTCAGCAATGTGCCCTCCACGCAGCTGGAGAGCCGTGAAGGAAGTCAGCTCTGGTCTCTCAGGCCTCCTGTCTTGTTCTCTTCCCTGCTGCAGGACAGGCTTCCCGTTTGGATATTGACAGATTTCTGCAGGCCAATGTGGATGCTCTCCTCCAGTATTCCTTTGCGCTGTCTGGTCTGGAACCAGTGCGTAAGCAGCACCCCTCTGCCATGGCACGGGCGCAGGAAGCCCCGCGGGTCATGGAGCTCCCTGTGCCGCCACGAAGCCAGCCTGTCCCAGACGCCCCTGCAAACCTGCCTGCCAGGCTGAAAGGCCGGAACCAAGCTTATATGACCTGGCAGCAGCGCCTGCAGCAGAACATCCAGCGGCTGCTAGATGTGATTCGCTCCTTGGAGACACCACCGAGCACAGGACCACCAGCCTCCGGCACCAAGGAAGACCAGGGGAGCACATCCAGCCATGCTGAGAAGAGTGCACAGGAAATGGCTGCCAGTGGCAGGTGAGGGAAGGACCCAGCTCCCGGCCAGGTTGGGTGGACCCTGGACAGATAGTGAACACAGGCAAGCTCTCTGGGGCAAACCATCCCATACCAGAGCAGGCATGCGCATGGGAAAACCCTCACACATCCATGGGCCAGCACTCAGTGAGCAGGCAGTGGGTGTTGCAGCCTTGTTAAGGCATGGAAATGTTCCTGTAACGGTAAAGCAGGTAAAATGCATCAGGCAGGGCTTTATTCCTTGTACATGTGTCACAGCGTGTCCTCACACTGTGGGGGGGGCTGCCTTGCGCTGTCCCCTCTGCACTCATCCCTTTTCTAGCTCACATCTGGCAGGAGTCTGGGCGACTTGCCAAAATACCTTCCTTGCAATCACGGGCCTTGGAGATACCAAAATAAACATGTCTCTGTGCTCCTCTCCTGTCTCCATGCAACATGAAGCTGATGTTTCTTGAATCAATATCATTTGAGAAGAGCTCTGGAATGCTTTAGAGGCCATTTGAGCATCTTGGCCTCATCTCAGCTCATCTGTTCAGGATGTATCTGCCTCAGCACTCAGACAGCTGGGGCTGGTGACCCCAAAAAGATATGATCAGCAAAGGGAGCATCTATTTGTGCTCAGATTTGTTTTTTGATCCTTTCTAACTTGGGAGCTGATGACCACTTGCATTGGCTGAGATGCAAAGGTTGTTTTGCTTGCCAGGAGTGAAAAAAAAATGCTGTCTAGATGGGCATTTCAAGAAGTCACATAAGTTTTGCTGTTTGTAGCTGGTGAAGTTCCTGTAAGCACACAGATTTTGTACAGAGTTGTACACATGGGGTTTTTATGGAAAACCGTTCATACTACTACAGCTGAGGCAGAGATCACACTTCTGCAGATAAAAATAGATTGAATCGTGTTGTTAGAACTATAACTGTTCTATTGCAAGGCTGTAACTTATATCCTCCTCCTTCCTCATGCTGTAGTAGGATTTTATTGTCTATCAGATGTTTCCTGGTATATTTACACTAACGCAAAATAATGTGTCATTGAGAATGTGTTAATTTTCCCTGGCTCTGAAACTAAGCCTTGCTCTGATTTAGTAATATAGGGATTATTGAGGGACTGCTGTGATTACACATGGCGCTTGCTATTCCATCAGAAAGTTTCTCAAAGACACTAATTCTGACTGTGACTGTAACCTGACAGCAGAGTCCCATCAATCCTAATAAGCAAAGCTTAAACTCAAGTGAGGGGCGGGGAAAAGCAATATAGACTGCACCTCTCAGCTTCACTGTTCAGAAAATCCCATCTCCTCTCAAAGGGGCTTTAAAGCAGGATCTAAGAAAAGGGCAAAAGGCTTTGGGACATTCCCATTCCAGCAATCTTGCAGCATCATGTGGGTTGGACAATGTCCACCTGTGATAGTCAGCATCTGGCTTAGCTCCAGCTGTGCACAGTTCTGCCAGCTGCATAGGACCCAGGGCTGCATGTTTTGCCTGTAGTTCTCTGCCCAGCAGGACACCCAGCCCTTCTTTTTCATCCCTTCTTCCATAAGCTGCCCTGTAGTCTCTGTCCTTCAGAGACACTGAGATGACAAGAAAATAATAAGATGAAGAAATTGTGCTACCCTTTCATGATATTTATACTGACAGTGAATCACTATGGCAAAATGTCTCTTACTGCATTTTTTAGTCCTTATTGTGCTTTCTGCCATCGGTTTAAAGAGCTATTTAGTACCTAATATTTCCTTTTCTCCACATTAGCTGCATACCAAAATTCAATCTCACAATAAGCTAAACAGAGCTCTGTAACTCCCATACTATGTTGCCCGCTCAGCAATAACTTCTGTGGCAATTTTCAGCAGCCCGTAAAAACAACCACGTGCTCCATGCCTGTATGGTCCAGCTCATGATCTCTCTTAGCTGCTCTCTTGGCAGAAGGAAATCAGCCATCTTCCCCTGCTGCTCTGTTTGCACATGCATGAGTTACCTTTGCCCTTTTTCCCAGGGCTTCCCACTTTTGAGTTGTTTGTCCTCGGCAACCCCGAAACCGCTTTTAGCATCCTGCTGCCCTGGATGCAGAGCCAATGCCGTCAGCGTGGCTGGCATCCTGTGTGCCTGGACACAGGAACGAGCCACGCTGTTTGGACAGGCCCAGCTTCCCAAGCAAGACTGGTGCCTGCTACCCCATCCTCCTCCTGTTTCACCTCCTGATAGCCTTTGTGATGCCGAACTACTTGATCCCCAGTAGCTTTAATTCTAACACCAGACCAGTCATTAAAAAATACTACCCCTACAAAACACTCCCTTTGAATTATCATCTCCTTTTAGCAGTTTTTGTGTGTGTGGTCAATCAGATCAGAGTCCCTCTGGTGTTTTTGTATTGCTGTTGTGTTTGGCTAATCTTGAAGGGGGAATTGTGAGAAGCAAGTTTTCTTGTCAACACAGGGACAGAAAAAGTCCAAGTACTTCCAGATTTTTGGGAATCTTAGACTAGGGAGCTCCTGGCCTCTCCATGAGGCAGCAGTAAAAAGATTACAATATCACGTGGGTTAGTAGGAGAAAGAGGAAGTCTGTCAAACTACTGGATAAAAAAGGGGAAGAGGTGCTAATTCTCCTTTCCAAGGTGATGTGGTTATCTCCCACTGTGGGGAGATAAGAGGGCAAACACACTAGAAGTTGGTTGCTCTGCTAGGACTGAGAAGCTTTAAGTCCTGTAAACTAGAAGGTGTGATTTAGTTAAGACCTAGACACAAGTTAAGACCTAAGACCTAGGCCTCCATGGCATCCAGTGCCTGTGACAGGATTGCTGGGCAAGACAAGGTCAAAACTTTACGCTAAGGTGAACAAGCACTGATGGACAGGTCTGCTGGGCTGAAGCATGGGAGAAAAGAAAGCAAAGGGGGGGGAAATTGTCCCATCTCCTGCTGGAGGGCAGGAAGCTCCTGCTCCTGGTAGCTAGCCTCTGAAGGCAGCAGCAGTGGGAGAGTGTCCGAATGCAGCGAAGAGCAGTGACAGGGAGCTGGACATTGCCAGTGACTGCGGAGGAGAGAAGAGACCACGACCTGTCTGTGGATTGGCAGATGCTGGAGAGGAGTTGTCTCCCTGCCATTTCTCAGTTGCTTTCAGGAAATACTTGTCATTGGGGATGGTGCAAATGCATCTCTTCTGCTTGGGGGATGATAGCACTGAATTATAGACTGGCAAGAGAGAGGCCAGAAAACCAGCAGCAACAGAGAGCTGAGATAGAGAGCAGCAAAAGATGAGAGTGACAGAATTTCTTGTAACCTGAGGTTGATGAAAAGATTCCGTTTCCTGGACGGGCGAGGGGATGTTGTAGGTTCAGTTTCTATACACACAGTCAACAGCAAAGTGTCAGGAGGTTGCGTTTATGAATATAAGTCTTTCAGATCTCTAGATCTAAACTTTGTCATGCTGCAAAGGCTTCTGCCCATGTCTGACTGTGAATCTGTTCTTAACAAGTAGGTCATTGACATCTGGTAGATGTTTTATCACTGAATTACTTATGAAAGCACTCTTTTTTAGAAAAGGACAAAGCTGAATTCCCTTCTACTGCCTCTTTTTCTCTTTTTTCTTTTTTTTTTCCCTTTTTCCTGGAATACTCTATTTTCATCTTGTTCATGGACCAATACATGTACTAGAGAAAGCAACCCATTTTGCAGCACTTAACGCCTTCTAAGCCTCAGGTTGTTATTATTTGCTCTTTTTTAAAATGCAGAACACAGGAGAGTCTTTTTCTGTTTTGTTCATGAAAACACAGAAGACATTAATACCATTAATACCATTTTAATTATTCTGAATATGCTTCTCATTTTACTAGCTTGATCACCCTGGTTTGATGACAAGGAGATTAAGTCAAAATATACCACTGGAATAACAAGCAAATAAAAAAAATAATAGCCAATGATAATATATTGGAGGGGAAAATATTCAAATAAGTTAGGAGAATAACGTCAAAGTCATTAATTGAAATTTGTCAGTTGCAGCAAAATGACCCAGCCTGTTTACCAGCTCTTGAAGGTGAAGATCTAAATATGACTAAGCAGTTGAGCTTTTGAGTGCTGGAAGGGACTCACTTCATGGGTTTATCAACAAAATGGGCTGAACACTGGTTCTCTTGGGCTGCTCTGCTGAAGAGAGAAAATTATCAGACTAGTACCACAGTAATTTGTTCATGTGTCTGCAATCTGGGAATACCATTTGCAGTCTATCCCATGCAATGCAGAGCTGTGTGTTTAAGGAAAATCTTAGCTTGTCTGATGCAAACTAGAACAGCATCTGCTGCAATGTGATAAAAAAAGTTTTATCCTTAGTGTCCTTTTAAAAAAATCTATCATGGAAACACTCACTTAATATTGCTTTTGCTTAACTAAGTAAAACTTTTTAGTTTCTTGTTCTCGATGTAAATTTTCCAGAATTTAGGTACTGTCATCTTCATGAGCACCTACAAGTTCCCCATGTCTTTAAAAAAAAAAAGGGGGGGAGAGAGTGAGCATCAGAACTATATATATTTGAGATTCTCCTGCCATGCATTGAAAGGTCACATATGCATATTCATTCATCACCAAGGGCTATGAACCTATGTACATATCACTCTCCTCACTATATCCTTTCTATAGTCACTGCATCTGTAAGGGCGGTCTCCTAACCTATATCTGTGATCCCGTATTCTTCATTCTCAGATTTTATGACCTGTGCTCAAATGCCCATTTGAGCCCCTTGCTCAAATGAGCCCAGGCCACTGAAGGAATTAGATCACACCGTAAAGCGAGTGATTGCTCATACTTATCCTCCCATTGCCATGGTATGTGTAGACCATGCCAGAAATGCTTCAGCGAGTAAGTCTAGGTGTTTGTTTGTTTGTTTTCTAGTTTCGTGAGGGAAATATAGACAAGAAGGGTCTGAGAAGAGATATTTGCAGAAATTCCTTGATTTTCCCAGACCAGCAGATGATGATTTCCCAAAAGTTATTGTATGATCCACATATATGAAAATATATGCTGAGTTTATTTCAGTCTTGTACTGTTTTTTAAGTCTGAACATTAAGCTAAACTAATTCAGATTCCTTAAAAATATCCAGGTACAATATATTCTCTAAATCACTCATTGTCCAAGCATTTGATCACTAAGAACAGTTGTCTGTTGACTATTCTGTCCTTTAGCACACTAGTAGCTACATCCAGGAACACTCTTCCCATGACTTTGCCACTGCTCATTGCTGACAAAGCCTCCTTTGGAGACCCAGTTTGTATCCATTATCAAGGATATAAAGTTAGCTTATTTCCTCCCCCGTCACTGAAATTTCTCTAGTATCATAACACTTCTGCTAACTGCCAATTTGAAAGTATCCAAGAGGTCACAGACAGCCTTAGGAAAACTGCATACAGGTTAGTCCATGCATGCACTTAAAGAGTATTTAAATGTAAGAAATTGAAGCTCTACTCTTCTTCCTACCTTCTGACAGATCAAAAGTTTTTTATTTATCACTGATTTTGTGAGACACTCACACACAAAGGAATTAGTGAGCATTTCTTCTCCTTTTGCGTCACTGATAGTTCTGTATAATACCAGCTTTGTACCACGTCTATGATTTCTGCTGCTCTAGAGAGATTTAAAATATTTTTATTTTACCTACACTTTTGTCCCTAGATTTTCTACTTATACCTTTAACTTCCCATATCGCTTTGCATCAACAGTTAATTTGCTATCATTGTTAGCAGTTTTCTTCCCTTTCCAAAAATAATTGCTCAAGCAGGAAATTATATACTCCAGAGCCAAATTGGAGTGCTCCATGTTTGACACTCAGCTGGTCTCTAGCATCTCATTGCTGTGCAGTCAGATGGACAAAACAGCACAGCAGCTACTGCGGGAGCCCTCAGAAAATCCCAGGAATTGCATTTCTCCTCCAGTCTCTCTCATGTGTTTCCGAATGCATGTTCCACTGTAGCCTCTGTGTTGTGCAGGCATGTACAGACTCTGTAGACATCCCCACTCTTTAATGCGTTTTGATCAAGAGTCCAAGGTTTCTTTGGGAATGTTTCTTGCTTTGTTTGGGGTTGTTTGCCTTTCGGCATTTCTAACTAGCAGCTATATATTCAGTTTGTGGTAACAGAATGTCTGATATGAGATTCAGAGAAATGACTTTTCCCAACCCTTTCTCTTGTCAGCCTTTTAGCTCTGGATAAGAATGAGGCAGTGACGATCCTCTGCCGTGCAATACAGGATGAAAACTGTATCTCATCAGTGGTTACCCAGGCCTGGAAACAAATGGAAGAAAAAGACCTTGGCTTCGGAGAGTTGGTAAAGCAGTTCATGTCTATCTTTGACCCCATTGTGTGCAAGGTTCCCTGTAGGGCAGACCACAGTGCTCCAGTGGCTAGAGCTCAGAGGCACTGCCCCTTCAGAGACCACCTTATGGGAGGAGCTCAGTTGGCTGACCAGGAAAGCAAGAGCCAAGCCAGGGATATGGAAACGGCTCAGCCCCCTGTTCTCCCCCTCAGCATGCCTTTGCACTCTCCGCAGGTGTGTGACAGTCTTGGGCGGCATCACATGGCCCTGTGTCCTGGCTGCGCTTTCTGCTCGCTGAAGAGGGAGCAGTGCCAGAACACCACCAACCTGAGACGTGTTAATTGCAAGACAGGCAATTTCGTCTCCTACATCAACCCCCAGATCGCAGCTGAGCATCAGGCTGCAGGCAGTCAGGTTCGGAGCTTGCTGTCTCTTTGGCTGGTCTGTGAGGAGGGAGCCTGGAGGGAGTGGTGGGGAGGAAGAAGCACAGCAGTCTCAGTCCCAGCCCATTACAGGTCAGATCCCCGGCTGCCTGGGAGTACAATGGCATGACGGCTTACAGCAAGTCGAGTGAAGAGTACTGGTGTGGCCACTTGGGCATGCATGGCTGTGACGACCCGCGTGTGGCCCTCTGGCTGCAAGCAGAATACACTTCCTTTCAAGCTGGGGATGCTCCAGGCCAGGTGGGTGCCATGCACTAAAGCACTCTCCCATTTTGCCTTCTCCTTCCTCTTCTCCTGCTTTCATTCCTGTCTCCCCAGGTCTGTGATTCAGGTGGAGTTCAATACCCCAATTACTGCGCATTCAAGAGCCACCAGTGCCTGCAACATAGCCTCCAAAACCGAAGGGTGAGAAGCAGCCTGCACCAACCTTTACCCAGTCCTTATCTTCTCCTCCATGGCTAAGTCACTCCATGCCCCTTCTCAGTGCAGCCCTGAGTCCCTCCGGGACTCAATGGCCCCCTGCTTTTCCCTCCAACAGGACTTGAAGTGAGTGTTTGTGGGAGTAGCAAATATTGACCCAAGCTTAAATGGCTTGGTGGCATGTCATTGAAGCACTGTTTGCACAGATGCTTTAACAGATAGCAGCAGAGACACTCACTAATGCCAAGACAGAGGAGCCATGGGGAGTCTCCCATCCATCACTGTATTGCTATATCCCCTGTCATGGTAGAGGGTCTCCCCAGCTTGTTCTATGCTTCCTAGGTGGCAATGAAAACAAGAGATATCAGAGCAGGATGGAGGACTAGCCTGTATCTTAGGAAACACACAGTTCAGCTATTGTCCCTTCCATAGCACTTCCCAGGAGGCCCTCCCTGCTAATGGCTGCTTCCATCCTATTGCCTCTGTGACCTGAGGGAGGGCTGTCCCACCTCCAGGCTGCTGGATGATGCCCTTCATTCCAGAGTCCCCCTTGTAATGGAGAATATTGGGCATTGGTGCTCTGCCTGAAGCTCAGGTTTTCTTTTCAGGTGTCTCGTGTTGCCTGTTCCCAGAACAAGACCTACCAGATGCTGAGTGAGGAGGAAGGAAAGGAAGAGGTACTGCTGTGGCACCGCTGGTTCCTCAGTCTCATGAGGGATTAAGTGCAATAGTGACAGTCATGCAGAAGGCGCAGGGATCCAGAACAGGCCCTTGAGAGCTGTGGCGATGTGGAGAACCTAGACAGCTCTTCCCAGACTGCTGTCTGGTGAGCTCCCCATGACCAGATCTCATCTGAACACCTGCTCAGTTTCCTTGTCAGCAGCACGGCCTTTCAACAGAAGTTTCATTCAACATCATTTCCCTGTGGTGCCTGCTAAAACTTCTTCTGAGAAAATTATCTCCAACCACAGGAACTGAAAAGCACTGGAGAAGGCATCTGCCTTGGAGAAATGGACCTAGAGCCACAGGCCCACATGTCCTTGTCTGAATTGCCCAGCCATCTTTTTTGTTTTTACAGTTCTGCAGGCCTGTGCCAACTGAGATCATTGCTAAAGCTGAGTCATGTTTTCTAAAAAGTTCATTTAACCCACAAAATTAAATTGCTCTGTTCTCTTTGCCAGTGCTACTCTATTTCATCCTGTAAAAACCATTCTCACATCTGTGGTGCCCTCCTCCCTGCATCCACCCTCCTCAGTTCCCCAGTGTTTATCACTTATTGGACCCCACATAGCCCCAGACCAAGGGTTTCAACCCAGCATGATGTCATCCCCTTCCAGCCAACTAGAGAGAGCAGAGCCAAGTGCCCTCCAGATACAAATGCAATGCACTAGGAAGGAGCTTCATGTACACACTTTTTTTTCCAGGTGTTTTATTTATGATGTTCAAGGGTTTATTGGACTTGCATCCTGTAATCCTCTGTCCAGAAAAAGAATTCAAACTACAAAAAGTGCAGTAATTTGGAGAGAGCATGCCAGGCAAAGAACACACTCTGGGATATCCCCCAGAGCCACAGGCTGCTTTTTGAAGTGTAGTAACACCCCACATCTCCCCAGAAGTGCTTTCTCTGCTTCCCTTAGTGTGTGTCTCTGTGTGGGCTGTCCTCTCACCATCTGCTCCATGTGCTTGTCCCTTTTTGCTGTGCTAGCCCTCTGTTTCCTGTGTCCCCCCTGCCACACCAGCCTGCTCACGCTCAGCGGCAGCTGTGCACTTCCACCAGGTGCCGACACTGCTTGCACGTGACCGAGCAGCACCAGCGAAACTTACAGCCGCATCTCTCCACCACTTCAGTGTGGGCGCTGCGGAAACCCCTCCCGCAGCAAAGCAGCTCACAGCCATCCATCGCTGGGGATGTCCGGTTGCACTGGCGGCCGGAGGTGCCGAAAACCCCATGCCGAGGGTCCCAGTCGCAGAAGTCCGGGCTGGCCAACAAGTAGATCAGATCATGAACTGTGTAGGGCTTGAAGCGAGAGCTCTTGGGCACCAGCAGCTTGCGGGAACCGACCCACTTGGGGTGAACCTCTGTTGCGCCCTCAAACTTTTCCTTGAGGACATTGCCCACCTCACGGAAGGGGGGCATGACCTTCCAGCAGGTGCGCACTTCGCAGGAGCCTGACACACCGTGACACTTGCACTCCACCTTCATGTGGGACAGGATGGCCTGCAGAGGATGGAAAGCCAACCAAACGTTGGAGACCTTCCTTTGTGCCTGACCCGTATCTGTGGGCCCCAGAGCAGCTGTTTTTCCACACCCCTCCCATAGGATCTATGTGAGGATTCAGACAGAAATCCCAGCACTCAGCTGGAGAGGCAGGACCAACCACTGGGAAGAGAAGGGAGTTTCTTTAACCTAAATCCAATAATTGTGAAACATCTCTTTTCCCGCTCTGTGGAAAACAGACTGGTTTTGGTCTGTAAGAGAAATCTCTGAAGCAGTGGAAAAGTAGGAGCTTGCTTTGACATGTGGGATAGGGGGGAAATAGATCCCCTTTGAGACAAGAAGGATAACATATCAGTTCAGACAGCAGGATGTATGGAGAATAATTTGTTTGCTCAGGAGGGGTTGATGAGATAGGGAAGCAAGACAGAGCAGAATGGGAAAGTGAATTCCTTTCGAGAAAAAGGCTAGAGAATGTAATTCAGTTCTGGGCTCTGTGAGGAAAAGGAATCTGCCCTGAGGAGGGCAAGGAAAACTGAAAAACACCTCTAAGCACGTAAGGAACAAGCTCCAGCACAGTACGGCACAGTGATGGGCTCTGAGGGAGAAGCAGCAGGACGCAGAACTGCTTCGGGAGTCCAGGGCTGTCCCAAACTGCTAGTCTGGGAAAGGGGTTTGGACTGAGCTCCACCCACCAGGCAGGAATTCCTGAAGCAGGGCTTGCTGACCAGCTGTTGTCCTTACCTTCCTCCCAGCTTCATTATTGTGCAGGTTCATGAGAGCCCGGCTGGAGGAGATGCCACGGCTCCTTTCAGGATTGTCTACAAAGGCTTGAGAAAATGCAATCCCATAAGACAGGTTATCAGAGCAGCCTGACCACTGGAAACCTGTGGAGGGAAAAGAGGCTAGGCAATGAAAAAGGAGAGGTCAGGGGAGAAGCCCCAGAAGTGGAGCTGAAGGAGGTGTTGCGGGAAAAAGTGAGCTCTGTTTTGTCCTGGCAAGGGTGTTCCCTGGGGAGCTTGTCCTGTGTCATCCCCTCCATCACCTTCGGCACTGACTCCTCGGATCTTGCGGTCGCAGCCACAATCCTCCAGCTCCCCATGGCTGCAGGCCTGGGTCACAGCAAAGGCGACACCCGCAGCAGCAATGGCATGGATGAAAGCAGACTCCCGTGTGCCTGCAGCAGGGTGAGAAATGGCACTCATCTGTTGAGCTTGGTATGCTCCACTGGGGGAGAGGGAAAAGCACCGATGAGATGTGCAGGGGAGGTGTGTTGGAGGAGGAATGTAAATAGAGACGGCTGAGGAAAAAGTCACTCGCAGGACGTTCAGCCAGTGCTGCATCTCCCAAGGCCTTTAGCCAGTGACTCTGCTACAGGCAGAGTGCAGACAGGCTTCTAGCCAAGTACCCTCCAGTCTGGCGCTTGCAATTCCAGAATTCCCACTGAGAGAGAGAAGTCAGTCACTGCACAGCCCCAAGATCCCTGAAAGGGGAGCCTGAATGTGAGAAGGGGCAGAACTGGTCCTCCCATGGAGGGAAGGTTTGAAGGAGAGTCCTACCACCTTATCTCTAGCAGTCAGCAAGAACAAACTACTCGGCTCCCTGTTTGCCTCCTCCCATATAAGCACATGTAAAATCTTCGCAGGGCAATTTTGGGTCATAAAGAGACCCTTTTTTGCCTGGCCTGGGGAAAAGAGGGATTGTGACCTTGGAGCAGGAGGTTTGATTTGACCTGCAACTCCTAGGAGCTGGGATGGTGACAGGGATAGGGAGATGGAGCAGCCTGCAAAATTGACATTCTGAATGGTCCACATCATGGGCCAAAAGCCAAAACCGGATGAATGATAATGAGGTTTAGCCAGAAATTTTCTAATTTATTACAGCACAAGCATTTGGTCCCAAGTCTGTTCTGTAGTGACAGCTAAGCTAGCACATGGCTGAAGATTCTGTACATGCATGGGCTCAGTGTGGCACTTACTTACACATTATCCCAGGCAAGGCTTATGTGTCAAGAGGACCCCAGCTACATATTGAAAGGAACCATGCCACACACCAGCTCTACCTGTGCTGCCTCCCCCTTGCCTGCTGACCTTGGATGGTGACTTTGCCGAAGACCTGCAGTCCCTGTAGGGTGGAGCAGTTCCACCGGCGAGCATGAAACTGATGCTGGCACTCTTCGATGGCCAACTCTGCTGCATGTTTCACTGCATCCATAGCTTCCACCTGCCGCTGGCAAATGCGTACCTGCTCCTCTACCAGCCCTCTCAGACCCTTACAGTCACCAGGGTCTTGGAGGGCCCCACGCAGGGAACTCTGCTTGGCCAGGTACCTGTGGGGCAGGGAAGAGTCTCAGCTGCAGACAGGCTAGAGCCAGGGCTATGTCTGCAGGCAACTAGTCTTGTCTAATCTTTCTTATTTTAGACTAGAAATGAGCCAAGGAGAGGGTTGTGTAGCTTCCTTTCTGTGCAGAATTGGAGCCCTCTCCTGGTTTGAACCTCTTCAATTTCTCTGCCTCTTTCCCTTAGTGCTCCCAAAGGTGTTCATTCTAATGTGTTGCCTTTGTGTTGCCCAGTGTTCCTTTTTCTACCCTTCTCTTACAAATCTGCCTATTTTCCTGGGAGAGAGCACCTCCCTAGGTGACTTTTCAATCCAGATGGTATAAGTCCAAAGTATACTTACAGCCAGGTCACAGCGAGGACATGCTGCACTGGAATCAGTACCATGTACAGCCACACCAGCTCCATCCTGTCCCCGGTGAAACTTCGCCTTCAGTCCTTGTGTATCAGTTCTCTGACCCCTGACTCCTCACGACAGACAGCAGCTCCGGCCCAGCACTGCAAAGAACAGGTAGCCCCAGCCCTGGACAACCATGGGCTGCCTGGTGTGTCTGTCAGCATTGGACTTCTGGTGGCCCAGAGACATCTGCAGGGTTGGCCTTGCGAGGTCGTTCACACCAGTATTGTCCCCTACAGCTTCTGGAGCAACATGGGAGAGCTCTGGCCTAGGGTTCCAAGGCAAGCATCTGTCCCCAGGAGCTCAAATGGCTGGAGACAGCATCAGTGTCTGCCACCTGGTCTCTGCAGTACTGTAGGCAGATGATCCAGTGATCTTTCTCAGCAGTCAAGTTCCTTCATCAGCAAAAGCAGCTTGAGATCCAATTAGTAGCAGACAGAGTCTTCCATGCAAGAAAACCTTGTAGCATCAAGAAGCTGTTACTAGATTCTCCAGCTCATCATTGCTTTCTGTCAACTAGGCCTTTTGGTAGCCAGTTTCCCTGCAGTGATAGTTCATGGGAGCGGAAAAAAGACTGGCTGCCTCCCTCATCCCCAGCCACCTGATGATCCTCCCTCATCTACCTCCCCCAGACTGGAGATTCCTCTTTTCTACCCTGCAGCCCACATAGCTACAGCAAACACATACAGCCTGGCTGTTGCTTGGCTCTTAACTGGCAGCTCTCTCTCCACGCTCCTTTTCCCCATGGCCGGAGGGAATGACCTTTCCTTTACTATGAGAAGGCATAATGGGTTCACTGCCCCCCCGCTTCTCGTGGGTAGATTTTTCCTAAGAACCGCTGAGAGATTAGAAAATTTGACTTTGGTGATCAGGGTGAACTATTTTGGTGAACTATTCTGAGATGAATGAGTGTCATTCGGCCGACAAGCCTGGGAAATTCCAGCTGAACTGAAGTCTCTGGAAGGCCTAACTCTTTCTCACAGCCTGGAGGTTTCTGCTTTTCCTGCCCGAATTACTCCAAAAGTGAAATCCTCCTACTCTGGCCTTGCTACAGGTCTTCTGTATCTTCTGCATGCCCCATGTGTAGGCTAACCTTTTATTACACTTTTCTACATTTCCCTATCCAAGGAGATTCGAAGAGTGTTTGGGTTTCACAGTCACCCTTTCAAACCTGACCAACCCCTCTGTTGCAGCATGTTTTCCATTTCTCTACTCATCTCTCTCCACCCCTGTGCTTCTCTAGTTCTACTTGGTCCTTGCTCCTGCCTTTTGGAGCCAGTACTCCAGGGCAGCGGACATGTTGGGATCTGCAGCACCAGGGTGTAGCCTCCAACACACACCCCTGATAATCTGGTCTTACCTGCTGCCAACTCAGACAGCAGGGAGGAAACACAGGGACTTGTGCTGTTTTTCCCAACTAGACGAGCTTCCAAGAAGCAGCTCAGGGGCAAAGCCGTGAGCCCCCCTGGGAGGGGCAGCAGGAATTTGCAGGTGGATGTGCCAACACCCAGTGAGGTGAGTGACCCTGATTGTGTAATGGATGCTGTGGGGCAGTGCAGACCAGTGGACTAAGTTCACTTCCACCTTGTCTTCCTCTCCTGATACACATGGTAAGATCAGGGCTGCCAGGCTTGGCTATGTGTGTGCATGCATGTGCATGGAAGGGGACTGAAGCAGAGGGGAAGGTTCCCACGGAGCATGTTAAAGACTTTTTTGCAAAGCGGGGAAGGACCTCCCCCAATATCTTTGCAAGCCTTCAATAGGACAGAGCTTTGATGGGAATTAAACAGACATGAAAAGCTGTGAGAACAAAGATCCCAGCAACTAGGAAGTGAGAAAGGGAGTCTGGTTGCTAAAAGACAAGCACTAAAATGAAACAAGATAAGATCAGTGTTTTGGGTGCTATTGTATCCTCTAAGGATTTATGAACAGCAGGGATATATATCCCTTGGTGTGTCGCTCCCTGAATGAGGAGGCAGTGACAGCAGAACAAGGGACACATGGAGTGAGAAAGTCAAACACATGCAGTAGCATCCAGCACACAGAGGAGCTAAGCAAAGGGTGTAGAGAAAGAAGAGCCTGTAGGCATAGCAGTTTCTTCTCAGGACAGGAGGGAGCAGCTGCCCCTAGGAAAGGAGGATGATATATTAGGAGCATCCCCTTGATCCCTGTCTTCTTTCAGGCATGCTGGGACAGACGAGGCAGAAATAGGGCTTCAGAAAGCAAGTACAGGATGGGCTCTGGAGAGGGCAAATCCCATTGCAGTTAGATCTAACAGTGCCAGGTCTTGAACATCCTGCAATTCAACACTTGCTCTTTCTTAGCGCTGTGCCTCTTGCAACTCTTGACCATGGGATTGACATTTGTGATAAACATACCCTTGTCTGCTATGGGCACTGTGCTTGGCTCTTTCTATGTCCTTGCCTTGTGCCCATAATGCACAGCTGGGCTCCGAACAGCAGCTCTGCGCTGAAGTGTCCAAGCCCGTGGGACTGATAAGGCACTGAGGCTTTGCACTGGCTTGTCATTAAAATGTCTGTGTGTGCTTGCTTTTGCTCTTACTTCCCATATTTCACTTCCATCTCTTCTATCTGGCAATATTTGGGGAAAGGGGACATTTTAGTTTTCCCATGCTGATCCTGCACTGAGTCAGGATGGGAGCAAAGACAAGACATTTGACACTATGACCCAGGGCAGATCTCCTCAGTTACGAATACACCTGGGTGTTGTTTCTTTCACAATTATGTTTGCTTTCATAGGATGTGTTTTAGCTTATCGACTGCAGATAGCAAAGTTCACGCTCTGTGGCCAGTAAGCAGTGTGGCAGGAAGTCAGAGAGGAGGGAAGATGAACTGCAGCATGGCAGACAGAGACCGGCTGCAGTAAAGCAGGGAGCCGCTGTGACTCGAATGAACAAGTAGCCAGGCAGCCCACCCGGACTGTTTTCATTCAAGTTCATCGCAGTTTTGGTGCCTGAATTGAAAGTGCTACAGTGGCAGCAAGCGTTAGACAGCAAGCCCACGTGCAGTGCCAGCTCTTCGCCTGCAGAGAGGTAAGCAAAAAGGGAGCAGTTAGCGTGCTGGGCGGTCTGAGAGCACAGGGCATCCAACCTGGCAAGCTGCGGAGCCCGTGCTGCCAGAGCTGACCACTGGGCAATGAAAATGCCTCTACGTTTCTCCTGAGTTACAGAGCAATCCAAGGGGTGTGAGGCAGGACTCGGCATTTATTCAAATGGAAGTTTTCTGTGATACAAAAGGCTTTGTCTGGGTGCACATCCCAAGGAGCCCACAATGGACGAAAATGTCCTTTTCTATGGGACCCCATAGGAGATGAAGGCAAGTGATACTTCTAGTAACCAGGCAGTAACACTATGGTCAGATCTCATGAGTTAAATACACTGACGAGCTCCAATGTCAGACATCTTTCATTAAAAACAGACGCTCTCTCAAAAATTCCTGTGGGTGTAATCATCGAAATAAGCTAATCTGATGGTTAGGGAAAGGTGAAAATAGTGCTTAAATATCACCCACAGCAGGAAAAAAGCACCCTCATTTACAGAAAATATATACTTGCAATCTCTAAAGCAACCATAGGGTTTTTGTTGTTGCCGTTGTTTTAAGTCTGGCACATTCTCTACTTTTCCTTCTTGGCTTCAGATCTACTAAGCCAGCTACTGCAGTTTGTGGCTTCATCTGCGCTGCTCTGCTCACTTGCCACCTCCATGCTGAGCTTTCTGCCTATGTCCCCAGGACATCCTCAGAGTGCCACAGGGCTCAAACATCAAGTCACCATCAGCCCACCATGCTGTGTTCCTTCATCATTTGTGCAGTGCCAGCAGGGGCAGGGTGCCTCTCGACTGAGAGGTAGGATGCTGTTGGGAGAGAAGGTGCCAAAGGCCAGGCAGAGAGATGCCAGACACACATCTCAGTTCCTGTCTGCCTCTTCCAGCCTCTATGAGGGGGGATAGGGTATAGTTTGGTTTAGGTATAGTTAGTTGTAAGTATAGTTAGGTTTTCATACCCTGTAAAAGACAAATTCAAAAGCCCTGCATGTTTCATATGTAGTGTGGGGCCACCTTGCCTAGACTGCCTTCAACGGACCAACAGCTCTTCCTCCCTCACCAGCTGCTAATGCCAGTGTTTTCATCTCCTCCCTTCTAGTTTCTGCTGCACCTTTTCCTCTGCAGCAGTTGCTTATAGCAAGTGAGTTAATGTATGTGACTGTGTGTGTGTACATGTGCACACACATACGCATGTGTCACATCCCTATCATGCTCCCTTCCCCCCTGCCAGAGCAACAATACTAACAATAAATTCACCTTCCGCTCGAAACTGTGACAGGAAGAGGCATCTGCCTAAGTGGTGTTTGAATTTCTCTTTTCTGCCTTCACCAGAGAAAGGCCATGGTTAGAGGAGATGACCACAGGCCTTCAGGGACTCACACTGATCTATACTTGATCTCTACTGAGAAATAATAATTAAAAAAAAAAACACCTGCACTTGCTGGGTCGCTTAATGTCGGTTGTCAAACAGAAAGTTCCTCCAAGATACCAAGGCAGCATCTCTCTGGAGAACCAAAATATCTACTTGGTTGCTCTTTCTCTATTGTGAGTTCAAGCTGTGATGCCACTGCTTGCTTGCACAGCTGATGACAGGACCTCTCAGCAGCTTTGCTGTAAAGCAGTGAATGCCTGAGGTTCTCTTAGAGGCCATCCACAAAGAATATCATCTCTGGCTTTTGGACATCAAGTAAAAAGGACACTCAGATCAGTTTCAGCACTTCTACACTCTGTCTCCCTGCTTCATCTAGAGCTTTCTTCTTCAGTGGGGAACAGTTCCCCCAGAATAGCTCTTTTCTCACAACTTCCTTTTCCCAAAGAAGGCAGATGTAAGCATCCCAACTGAAACTGAGTTTCAGTTATCTTGATTATAGTATCTCTTATTTCAAAATTCCCTCTATCACTTTAATAGCACTGCAGCTCATGGTGATATTTTTCTTTCAAATTTAGAACTCTGATATTTGGTGCCTCAGTGGCTTAAGGGTTGATGGGTATGGAGTGGACAAGACCACACAGAAAAAAGGAAAAAAAAAAAAAGAAAAAGTGATGATGGAGATAAAACTCAACAGATTTCTTGGACTGCTTTCCATAACAGGAGTGTCTGGTGTCTGGGAAACTTCCATGGCAGAAACTCTCCTTACAGGGGAATTTATTGAAAGACTATCTCTAATCCAAATGCTGGAAAACTCCAAACATCTAAACTGCAAATCTCTAAAACCACAGAGACTCTACCCCAGAGTTCCAAAAACAGCTCAAGGAAAGTGCTAATCATGCTGTAAAAATATTTGCTTAAAACTACTTTTAAAGACTGACAGACTGGCAGAATTTGAGAAAAGGCTCCACAGATACTGGGATTTAAGATCATGGAACCCAATGTTTGAGCTGGACAAATTAATGAAAACTATTTTATTTATATATATATATATGTATATATACACATACAAAGAATCA